AGTCGAGCGCGGTCTATTCAACTATTCTCCGGATCGGATCATCCCAATCAAGCCATCATTGTATGGAGTATATGTGAATTCTTTTTTAGGGTATCCCGGTCGAGAATTTCTGTGCTGATTCAAACTCATTTCCCTTAGAAGCTTGTTGGTATTTGAAAGAAAATTTTAACAGATCGAACAGGTTAGCAGAGTTCCAAACTGAGATGGCCAGCCTTCCTTCGTCACATTGGTTCACTTTCAGAAGCGAGGCCATTTCAGCCTTAAATCAGTAGGTTTACCTTGCGACACATTAATTCTGTTTTTTTTTTATGACTTGCTTAATCGTAAGACACCTTGAAGGTAAGGACAATGTTCGATTTTTTTCCTTTAATTTATTTATTTCTGCCTCGAATATATCCTCGCCAAAACCTCCTAAATGCCCGCCAAATTTAATGTGGCGCGCTCGGGAGTGATCGTACAGTGTTTAGGAAGAAACAGGCCCAGCACAACTTCCACTGGAGGCACTTTTGTGTTACTGCAAGAAGTACCCTTATAAAGAAGTCGGAAAGCTTTTCTATTATTAATTTCGTGCTACATTTTCTGGATAAACAATAGAATGTGTTGAAAATTGTAGACATCCGTGTTTCATAATACACGTACACACTTAGCGGCCAAATTGCTACATATTTTATCTTTTTACCGCTGTTTTGCTTGTTGCCGAAGTTTAAATGCTACATCATGATCCAGTGCGATTTATTGTTGTCGTTACACGCTCAGATCTTTAATTTGTTTGAATTAATGAGAAAATTATCTTGTAGTCTGTAATTATGCGTAGTATTGCATTGTTGAATGCGTTCACTGCCTATGAAAACAATCGTTTTCCTAGTAGTATATCGGATAGGCCAACTGACTCCCACTGGTGGCAAATTGTGCTACAAAACCATAAATAAGGGATATTCGAAGTATAAACCTCACAAAAGCTTTTGATTTTGATCAACAAGGAAATGAGTGACTAAAACGCGTTAAAAATAACACATGCTCGTGTTACAGAGAGGGGGTTGAGTGTTGCTCGTTATTTGTAAGTCTCTGAATCTTAGCAGCTTTCTTTTTCTTTTCTATAATTTTTACCGGGGAATCGAAATGAATTTTAGTTGATTGGTTGCGTCCATCGCGGTTCCCCCCTATTTGTTTTTCAAAAAAAAAAAAAAACACCATTGCAAGAACCTGTACGGTCTCTATTATTTTTCATTAACAGCCAGAGAGCTTTAATTCACCGAAACTAAAACAGATTCATAAAATGTACATGGTTCAGGGTATTCTGTACGTGCCTTTTATGTTGGGTGTGTCGCCTGATTAAAAGCGAGCGATCGGGTGAGTCGCCTTCGCTTAGTGCAAGAAGACTTTGTAAAACGCGTATATTTAATGAATCTTTCTGTAAAGAACGAGGCGGCCTAGAAAGCTTGAAAAATAGTTTTTGAAACGTCTTGCCAAATATGTTTTTATTTTGTTTGGGGATTGCTAAAATTGCGTTTCAACTAGACGCTGTAAAATTCGCAATTGAACTTATTCTTCGGATTCAAAACAATGACCAAAGTTCCGTCTGCACGTGCTCTTTTGGGTGAGTCGCCTGAAAAAGCAAGCGATCGGGTGTGTCGCCTTCGCTTAGTGCAAGGGAACTTGGTTTTTATTGGTTGTGGCTCGCAAGTCCGTTTTGAACGAAATAAATGCTTTCAGTCATAATTAATGAACATCATATAGGTGACCTTACAAGTTTGTATTATAAGAAAAATATAAGAGCCTTTTTACGCCGCGAACAGGATGAAATAGAAAACTTCACCGGCCTTTTCTCAAAAAAAGGGAATAGTCCCGCTTTAAATTCTGCTCCCCAGAAAAAGCTACAATGAAAATTATTTAAATTTATAGTTTAAATTCAATCAAATTTATTTAAATCGCTGCACTTCGTTCATTTGTGGTAAATAAATGCATATTGATTCTGAGGTATCCCCGGTTAGATAATTTGTGCAAAACTCCTCTACACCGCCACAAGTTTTCCGAGTGGTGCGCTGTTTCGGAGTGGTTTTTATTTCACCAGGTTCTTTTCTTTAGTTGTGTTCGTCTCATCAGCTCAGCTTTATTATTTCTGTAGTGTCTGCTAAAATGATCCATTGAAAGATATGTCGAATAAAGCTTCAGTAGGAGGTCACGAAAGGAGATTCGCATTTCACCTCAAGTATGGTTTCAAGCTGTCAACGGTCTATGCTTGGCTGAATTTAAACAATGGCTTCCTGGTCAGATGGGGGACAAATTTTCCCCCATATTTCGGTCGCTAAGGCTTGCGGCTCGCCATGAAGTTGTTTGGTCCTAAGCTTTAGAATGGATTTCCACTGTCGAGGAAAGGTAACACGTAAACCTAAAAGTTAGACCTCGCTCAACTTAAAAGTTTACGCGTGACCTTCCATACATTATATTGTCTCTATTTTTTACGCTCTTAAAATTTACGTGCTTATACGCGACAATGGAAATCCACCTGAAGCGAACCTGAAGCGTATTAAGATTCTGTCTGACAGTTTAACAATGAAGAAGTATTTTAAACCCCTTGCACAGCACAAACAAAACTTTTTAAAGCGAACATCTAAATAAAGTAGCTGAAAAGCTACTGGTGTCATGCCTTCGGCGCTCAGATGTAGGTCTGTTGAATTCAACAATAAAAATTAATATTGCAGGTTTCAGGTACAAAAACAAGCGTCACTACCGTAGCACGACCACAATAATTTTCATTCCGGTAGCACCAAGATAAACTTAAACGCTTTCGAAATTATCGCCTTTTCACGCTCTTTTTCTTTCCTCTTTGACCAACAAAACTAAACACTGTTTTAAACCTCGCTCTGTATCGATCACGTCTGCTTTAATTAATTTGTCTTGCAAATGTCATCTTGTTGTTAATCAGCCCTCACTTGTCAACGCACGTCAAATCAAGTTCTTATGAAGTGAAAAGTATCTCTCCGGGGGAGGGGACTCCGCATATGAAAGGGGTGGGGATGCTCGTCGGAAATTTTGAATTAATCCCCTAAAGGAGACCAATCTGGGCGTGGCCTAACCCTTTTGACCCCTAAAAGCGATTATGTTAAACTTTGATTACGTGAATCGAGTACATGAAACGAATTGAAAGTATATAATTTTTAATATTTCTTCGAGTGCAACCCTAAAGGAGACCTTTACAGCTAAATATAATAGTGTTTTGCCAAGAACACCCAAAGCGAGACCAAACTCCAAAATTTACACCCCTAAGAGAGACGACGAGCCGACGAGCATCCCCACCCCTTCCATATACGGAGTTTCCCCCCCGTATCTCTCTCATAACCTTTCTCCTTCATGGAGCAAATGTATGAAGTAAGTTCAGGGGAAATCGACTTTGGTTCGAGTTACCGCGAGGTTCGAGTTAGCGAGGGTTCCAGTTATCGGGAGTCGACTGTAATTAGCTAATTCATAAAAACCAATCAATAGCATTGTAGTCAAGTTAAATGAAAAATCCCGTGTATATATGCATGAAAAGGTGCTATTCTTAAAAAGACTTCAGTGAACACAGCCAAGGGACTCCGACCAGTTCGTTTAATTCATCGATATTTCTACAATCTACAAAGTATTACTATACATTACTTGATATTTATATTTAGATTAACCGGCGAATTTACTCTGTTTACTGTAGTAATTTTACCCTCGGTAACTCGAACCCTCGATAACTCGAACCTCCCGCTAACTCGAAGTAATTTTTGTTTCCCTTCAGGGGATTTCTATATAATTTTACCCTCGATAACTCGAACCGTGTTTTATGCGCGTGACAAGTCGGAAAAAAAAGCCGTGTACTGAAGTCCGCGACTGATTGAATTTAGGGCCTGTTTACATTGAGGTGGGGGACCCCAGGTAGGTGAGGTAACTCGCTTAAGGCTAGTTTTCATTGCACTAGCGACGGAGTCGGAGTAGGAGTCGTAAGCGGAGTAGTAAGAGCGCTTATGACCTAGTGAAAATCAAAAATCGGAGTCGTAAGCGGAATAATAAGCGAGACGGAATCGGAGTCAGATCAGAAGAATCAGAACGTTTCCATTTCTTCCGACTCCGCCTACGACTCCGTCGCTTACGTTCCGCTTCTGATCTAGTGAAAACCAGATTGTCGGAGTCGGAACGCAGAATCAGAAGGATTAACCGATCACAATGCAGGTTCCCACGCTTCTGATTACGACTCCGACTCCGACTACAACTCCGTCGCTAGTGAAAATCAGCCTTTAGGTGAGGTAACCCGCCTGTTCATATAATCTCTCATTTTTATTTCATCACGTTTACATGATAGGTGGGCTGACCTGCCACATGGTCCCCCACCTCAATGTACTGACAGGCCCTTAGTTCAAAACAACCGTGTCAATTTTATGTCTTTACTGTTTTGTCGGCTCCAGTTCAAATTCAGTGTTCATCTCTCTGACTTTATTGCTTAATTGCATTCCCTCCCATCCTTATTACCGGTTATTTGCTTCAAACTCCCGATAACTCGAAATTTTTTCGATTTCCCTAAAAGGTTTGAGTTATCGGGAGTCGACTCTAACAAAAAAAAACATCACTTCTTTGTTACCGTGGGTATCGAAAACCACGGGACTATACAGTACAGGGTGTTTCAAAAATTCGTTCCAATTTACAATCGGAACGAATTTTTGAAACACCCTGTATAGTCCCGTGGTTTTCAATACCCACGGTAAATTGTTGAAGAAGTCTGAACGATGACCGAAAAAGTGGTCAAAAGTAAAGACCTTAGAAGACAAACTAAGGGGTGGATGGCCGTTTTTTCACAAACTGTGTGAGAAATATTATCGAAAGAGCTGTAAGTATATGTGTAATAATTCAACAAATTAAAACAGAAAGGTAAAAAGATTTCAATTTCACAGTATCGATCAACGTTTCGAGCACAACGGTATAGGGATAATTTACCAAAAAAAGTTGGAAAGCCTTGAAGAGAAAAAGGCGGTGCACCCTTCATGCAAGCATGGTGCCAGAAGGATTTGCCAACCAAGGAGGACCTGCCGGCAAACTCACGTGATGTGAACCCCTGGAGACCATCTGGATTATCGTAGACGAGACAACATACAAAGATCCAGCCCCCTAAACACTGGACGAGTTAAGACAGTAACTATGCTTCGCCTGGAAGAGCGTGACTTTGGACACGCTTTGGGAACTCGTACTTCACCTCTTAGAAAATGTCAGAAAACATACAGGAAGACGTTCTGGTTACTAATATTTTAGGTATTGAATGTTAAATGAATAATGAATAACGTACTAAGTTTTACAAAAGGTCTTTTTAATAATTAGTGAAAGAGAATAAAAAATCGCAACGAACTTTTGAAACACCCTGTAGTACTTTTGTCATGAAACCTTATAACATATTTTTTTCAGCTCAAGATCGCCGGCAAAAAAAATCCATTGAGTTTTTGGATTTAAAGTGCGCGACGCGTTCTGCCCTTCCGCCAGTCTAAGCTGCTTCTAAACCAGCAGATGCGAAAGAGTTTTTCAGGAAGAAAGAGAGTAACTACCTTTTTTGCCAGTGTCTCACCTTTTTTTCCGCAGAAGGATATAAACAAACAACAACAGGTGTAACAAAATCGGTGATTTAGTTTCCGTTAAAGAGTCATTTCATGTTCTTTGCCTTGCCTATTATTCCGAGAAATACCTGTGCTATTCAAAAGTATGGCTTTTAATACTCTGCCATCTCCAAATTTCTGTAGGCAGCTAGATCGAATTGTTACAGTTGTGCATGCTAACATAGTTGACGAAAACAGAGAATCACTTAAACAATATTAATTGTACTTACGGTTTTCAGCAGATGTATTCAGTTATTCCTTTTATTATATAAACTGCAGTGTTTTACAAGGATTTCTACCACCGAGAAATGTGGTATCTGAACACACGTAAAAATACGATATTTTTACATGCGAAGATATCGATAATTTCACTGACATCAGGTTTGTCTCTTAAATTGTACTTAAATTCGTTGGTGTATCATCGAAACATCTTCGGGTCTTCTTCGAAAGTGCTCGGCAATCTTCGGAAATTTTCGGAAATTCTCGGAAATGTTCGGGAACGTTCGTCTGGTCTTTGGGACAATTTGAAAAATCTTCGGAAATCTTCGGAAGGTGGTCGGAAAATCATCAAAAACGCCGTCATCAGTATGTTTATATAATAAAAAGAATATTACACGTTAGCTCGAAGATATGAATTTTATGTTCGAGTGGCAAGAGCAATATCTCACTCGTTCGCTGCGCTCACTCGTGAGATATTGTTCTTGCCACTCGAACATAAAATTCACATCTTCTCGCCACCGTGTAATATTCTCTATTTATTTAATTCGGGGGAGTGACAAATTAAAGCAGAAAATTTGTGGACGCGCAAAATATCGGCCCCCATAGACCATAGCTCACGTTTTTTTACGTGGAAATACACTTGCGTACGCTTACCGGCATAGTCGAATTATTCCGAGAATCACTCAAATAAAAGCGGCGGTGGGGGACAAAGTTGATATTTTGATTGCTAACGGTTTTCAAATGCATTCAATATTTCCTAGTACTGTAAAATTCTCCACAGCGGTAAGTTAGGGAAGAAAAATGCGTTTGCGCGAAAAAACCGGGCCCCGAGGACATTTACCCCACAGATGCGGTTCAGCGAGGTCTTTTTTGTATAAATAATCCAGGGATGAGTTAACTGAATGTAATGAGTTCTATAAAAAGAAGAGCTTCGACCCTGACCACCCGTATGTCACTTGGATGTAGTGATCGATGTAACAATTATTTTCCGATTAGTTTAATCTAGGATATGTCATATTAGGGACGGACCATTAAAAAAGTTATGGGCGGGAGGGGAATTTTCGAGCCGCAGGAATTTTTTTTCGTTATCGAATTCCTTGTATGAATTTTTTTCAGGCCAAAGCATGAATATTTTTTAGGATTAATTGGCGTGAATGAATTTTTTTTCATTTAATTTTACCTTGCGCGAATATTTTTTTTGTACTTCGCCCCCCCCCCATAAGTCTTCTAATGGTCCGTCCCTTAGCAATTACAGTTTTTACATTTAAGATATAATTTTAATGTTTTCTTTTTTCTTTTTCTTTATTTAAGTGTCTGTTGTAGTTTTTGGGTGGACTAGCTCGAATGGTTCGTATGTTCCCTTCTAGTCCTTCCCCACTGCAATAATTTTTTTTCTAGTATGTAGTTAATTGTTCTCTTACGTAATTTAGCTAAGTTTTCTTTTTTGCAGTGAAAATGGAATAAATATATATAAATATAAGCAGTTTCAGTCGTAAATGAATAATTTGTATAGAGAGCTTCAAACACTCAACGAGAAAAGTATCTCATTTGTAACGGACAGCACTTTATTGTGTGTAGGACTGCGTGTTTCGGGCTGCGAGACAATGCACTGACTTTCCCGCCCCCTGTGACTGTCGTTTGCGTTTCACTTACTTCCCCCACTAGCACCTACTTAGTATTAGAATGATATCAACGACAATTTGCCGATCATTGCCGAATGAAGATCGGACGCGGTATCTGAAAACACAAAAGAAGATCACGATCAAAAGCACTAATGTCTTTGAAAGAAAAGCCTCTTATCAACCGAAGTTCGTCATCATGGACTGGGCATCTCTATTTCACAGAGAAAACACTCTTTGTAGGGAATAGGGACTGAAACTCCAGGCCATTTACAATCCTCTCCTGGAACCACGTAACAACGAAGTTACGTAGCCGTATCTCACTATTTTTTATATATTTTTTTAAAATCGAATTTTAAAATTAATTTGCTTTTGCTCTTAGTTTTGGATTATATACCTTGTAAAGTGCTGTAGTCTTGATAATTAGCAACAAAAATATACAAAAATTGGAACTTACAAAGAGCGCAACTGATAGAGATTTGAAAATATCCCAGGTGGAAGATGTGCAATTCTGTTGTTCTGGAGCAACCTACAAAAATAAGTAATAGAGAGATGACGTGAGTGGAAATAGAAAGTGCGATTGTGTTCATGCATAGGAACATTCTGCACGCGTAGCGCGGTAAAAGCAGTCCATTTGATATGTAGTTAGAAGATACATTTCAAGAGCAAGCTTCTGTAAATATCGGAAAATCTTAAAGTTACGTTATTTTCTGAATATTGTCTCCAAATAATCTGTTCATAGTTACAGCTAGTGAGAAGTTCTGAAGCGGTTTTTTAAAATTACTTTCCAAGTGGCCAATCCAGGAGGGAGAGGTGGGGGCGGAATTCGCCTCCAAATATATCCATCAGACACAAGGATTAATAATTTAAACTACATAATTTTTAAACGGCTTTAAAGAATCGCAAAAAACTGTCCTCTCATAGCTTAAAAACAAAAGTAGAGTTGAATGTTTGTACAAGGCAGTGTAGTAACTTGTATTAAGCGTATAAGAAAGGTCCGATCTGTAATAATAATTTAATCACAAGCGTAAAAAGGCCATATATCTTTAAAAATCAAACCAGTTGTATGGCAACAATGAATTTTGACCAATCAGAGCTGCGATACGAAGTGTTAAGTCAAGTGACCAGACAGAAACCAACGGGTGCTAATTTTTATGTCATCCAGCAATTGCCAAAACAAAAGAGCTATCGCAAGAGTCGTTAGTCATTTCCCCGTTCAATTAGTTTGATCACGTGACCTATGACGTCAGTCATGTGATTTAAAATTAATGGTTTTATTGTCTCAGTTGAGACTCTACTGGGCATGTCTCATTTTTCATGTATTGGATTATCTCTGATGGAACCAACGTTTATAACAGATGAGTTTTTTATTACTCCTGGGTCGGGTTGCAAAAAAACATCAGAAGATTAAGGAAACTCGTATCTATTAATTCAAAACAATAGCTTATTGTTCCAGAAGAAAAGTTAAGAGCTCGATCTTTTATCTTAAGAAGTTTTTATGCAACCCGGCACTTGGCACTAACGCTTGGTTTAAAAATTATCGCCTTTAGGAACTTTATTACGCTTGGGTGTTAGTTATTAGACTTGTGCTTTCTACAGACGTTGCCCGTTCAACCATGGGACTTGTCTGAATTAACAAAATCTGGGTAAAAAGTAAAACCATTCAAGTAAAACTCCTTTTATACCAAAGTGCTCACGTTTGTATAGGAGTATACTATGGCACTGTGTCAAATGCTTTTGAGAGACCTAAAAACATATCCATGGTGTATTCTTTATCGTCAATTGTTTTCGAGACTTTCGCTTATAATGTTATGCTTACGTATCTATAAAGACTTATTAATTAAAATTAATACCTCTCTTGTACATTAAATTTCTCTAAAATTTTTGAAAACCTTAGGAGAACTTTAATCTTGACACAGGACGAAATAACGTGTTTCCGTATTTTGTAAACTAGACGAAAACATAGAGTTGCTTATATCCGTCAAGTTTCCGCCTTGTTGAAACATGGTGATCTAGTTTTCCATGGACGCGACACGTTTCCGCCATGTTTCCGCGTTGAAAACGAACGATCGCGTTTCCACGTCACATTTCTGTTATCCGTTACGTTTCCGCTGACGTATTTCTTTTCCTTTTTTAACCCATGTCCAAGATGCATGATCAGTGTTTCAGAAATTTTGCCTTTGCGAACTGTCGAGGTGAATAACGGTATTTATTTACACTCCAGATCGAGCTACTTTGTAAACGGTTGCGTATTTAGGCCCGTTTATTAAGTTGGTTCTTAATTCAAAGCATTGCGAGATAAATGAAACTAATTGACAGTTAGTTAAGTAATCAGAACAGTTCATAAGAAGAGATATTAAAGTATCGTGTGAAAGTGATTTGAAGTCAGGTATTTTAGAATAAGCCTTACAATCTAGTAAGAGATGATTTTCATCTTCGAAAAAAGTGACAAAAGTGACATATCCTTTCATTGCGAGGAATGTTTTCGTATCTACCTGTTTCAATTCTAAGTTGATGACTACTTATTCTAAATCTAACTAATGCTTTTCTCGAAGGGTTTTTTCTTGTTAAAACTAGGTACGGCGAGGGGCTACAGTCGTCTTTGATTGTACAATAAAAACTGAGTTTTTGTGATTGTTGAAGGGTCTGATTCCAGTAAGAGACGTATTTATTTTTCATTATGCCGATATACCTATTAACTATTGAGTCACTCAATGAATTACAGAAAAAGTCATAGTTTAGATCATAGTAGTCAACCATTTTCATGAGATTAGAGTAAAAGCTAGTTTTTCCGTTATGATAGGTCAATTGAAATTTGTAAGGACTG